AACTGTATTATGACCTGTGTGGAGCAGAACAGGATGAGGATCCTCTGGAATGGCGAGCTCTCGCAGCCGATCTCCCCATCCCGCGGTGTTCGTCAGGGAGACCCTCTTTCTCCCTATCTTTTTGTTCTTTGTATGGAGCGATTATCGCATAAAATTGATGAAGCAGTCAACAGTGGACAGTGGAAAGCAGTTAAGCTTTCCGCTAATGGTCCACCCCTAACTCATCTTTTCTTTGCAGATGATCTTCTCCTTTTTGCAGAGGCGGAGTCCAGGCAGATCCAGATAGTGAAGCAATGCTTAGATGACTTTTGCTACAGCTCTGGGCAAAAGGTCAACTACGACAAGTCGATCCTCTATGTTTCCCCAAACATTCATCGTCAGAGGGCCTCGAGACTGAGTCAACAGGCGGGAGTTCCCCTCAAAGCGGCCTTGGGGCGTTACCTCGGCATCCAGGCCATTCAGGGGCGTGTGACTAGAGACAGATACCAATCTCTCATCCTCCGCATCCAGAAGAGGATGGCTCCCTGGAAGGCAAAACGCCTCTCCTTTGCGGCTAGACTCACCCTAATCAATTCTGTTGCTGTGACCTTACCTGTTTACAGCATGCAGACTGAGTGGATCCCTAGCAATATCTGCAAAAGCATCGACAGATTAAACAGGGACTTCATTTGGGGGGACGAGCCGGAGAAGAGCAAGATGCACCTGGTGGCTTGGGACAAGATGACTTCTCCTAAATGCCAAGGCGGAGTGGGAATTAGGCAGACCAGGCAAGCTAACACTGCCATGTTAGCTAAGAGTGGATGGCGATTGATTCAGGAGAAAGAAACTCTGTGGACCCGGGTGATGCAAGCTAAGTACGGCAGGCAGAGGCAAGGTCTCAACCTGATCAAACCAGTAAAGGGAAGTTCCTTTACCTGGGCCAGCTTGGCCAAAGCCTCTCCCATCCTAATGAAAGGATGTGCGTGGAATGTTAAGAATGGTAAAGGCACTAAGTTTTGGCTTGATCCGTGGGTTTTACAGGTACCTTTGAAGGAGGTTGCTACTGGCGATATTCCTCCGGAGCTGGAGGCAGCGGCGGTTGCGGACTTTACTGATGATGATGGGAACTGGTGTACCGAGCTCTTCAGCGACCTTCTTCCAAGCGAAATCCACCAAAAAATCTTGAGTGTTGCTGTGGATAAGCTCTCTCAGGAGGAAGACCGGCTGTTCTGGTCGGCGTCAGCAGATGGCCGCTTCTCCGCCAAATCAGCCTTCACTTTACTCACCCAAAGACCTCCGGACCCGAACGAGAAGATATGGAAGATCATTTGGCGCCTTCCGGTGCCAGAGCGGATCAGAATTTTCATGTGGCAGACGTTTTTGGGGAAGATTGTTACCAATGTCCTCCGTTACAGCAGGAAGATAGCGTCGAGTCCTTGCTGCGATCAATGCACCAACCAGCCGGAGTCGATCCTTCACATCCTCAGGGATTGTCCTCCAGCCCTCTTTTTCTGGTCCCGCCATGTCCCTACCCAGCGCCAGCAGACCTTCTTCAGCGACCGACAGGATGACTGGCTCCGCAAGAATCTACTTGAAGGTGACATGATGGCGTCGGACATTAGCTGGCCGGCCTTTTTCAGCATGGCGGCATGGCTTCTTTGGAAGAACAGGTGTACGACGGCCCTTAGAGGTAAGACAGCTGCTCTCTCTGCTCCTTCCCTTGAGCACTCCATCATGACCAAGGCGAAGATGTGGCACGACTCCTGGCACACGCCATCTATGCTTCCGGACAGCCGTACTCGTCCAGCTACTCGGCAGTGGGAGAATATTGGCTGGTCCCCCCCTCTTGAAGGGTGGGTAACTTTGAATGTGGATGGGGCTTCTAATGGGAATCCGGGCCCGGCTGGTGCTGGGGGAGTTATCAGAGGCTCCACTGGTCTGTGGGTTGGCGGTTTTGTGGCTAATATTGGCGTGGCCACGGCGGCCCTTGCTGAGATTTGGGGAATAAACTATGGTTTAGATTTGGCTTGGAGACTTGGTTACAGAGCTGTCAAAGTAGAGTCGGACTCGCAGCTGGCTGTGAAGCTCATTCAGAACAGGGACGATCCTCTCCACCCGTACTCTACTCTTCTGTCCAGTATCCGCAAGAAACTAGGCCGGGATTGGTTGGTTAACATTACCCATGTATACCGAGAAGGGAATAGAGTCGCGGACTGGCTCTCGAAGCACAGTCTCGTCTATCCCTACGGTATGCATGAGCTTGCTAGCCCTCCTCCCGGTCTAGAGGCCATTCTTCGTGATGACTTCCGTGGCTCCACTTTCGAACGCCATGTGGCTGTTCATCCCTCCACTTCTATTTCCTCTCTGTAACTCGTTCCTCTCTTTCTCGGCTGCGGCCTCCCCTTAATGCAAAAAAAAAAAAAGGTAACTAACTATAATCTTAAACAAAAGAATTAACAACAAGGTTACTTGATCAACAACAAGAAAAAAAGGAAACCAAACCCGCACATTATGAGAACGGAGAGAGGTTAATTATTGGTGTGCTCCCTAAGAATAAAGACACTAACACTCCGTAGCTCGTAGACATGAAGATCGGGTTGTGGCTTCGCGTATGGTTGTGTCATGTTGGGCTGTTTGATTTTGGGTTTCATCAAGTAGGTAAATTGAGCAAAACTTTCAAAAAAAAGAGTTATTCTTTCCAATTCGTTTTTTCAAATATTGACCCAATTCATTGGGTTTCGAGTCGGGTTACAAATCGTTTCGGGTTATAAACGCTCTCAGAATCACACATGCTTCATATTTTCTCAAAGAACACAAATCTTCACATGTGCATGGCAATAGTTTACCAAACACCTGTCAATTAACATATTCTCAAATCCTCCCATACTAATGAAATGAAATAAAAATTGCACAAATCGTCAAAAAACAATAACAAGAGTAATATTACTACAAGAAACACATGATATTTTGACTATCCTTAAACTCCAAACATGTTTTTCAAATCCTTGTGAATTATTTTAAACATCTCACCAATTTATGAATTATTTTATCATTTTGGGAGTGACATATGAAACGAAACGCGTCTAACGGGTCGACCCGCTAACCCATCCAACTCTATCCAAAAAATCACGGGGTTCGGGTCATTCATATTTCAAGTTATAAAACTTCTATTTTTGTAGACGGGTTCGAGTCAAAGAAATGACACGTAGTCGGTACTACTCCGACCTACAAATCGCACATTAAGCCTAGAATGCAGCGCAAAATAATGGACGACCTCCTCGAGGATGGCCCCCGAGGCCCCGACCGATTATCCCTAATATCAGCTTGGTTGATTTTATTAGCGTCTCCTTCAAAACTCGTCTCCATATACCCATGCGCCAGACACAAAAAAGCAGCCTGGAGAACGAGCAACTCAACAACCATAGGATTATAAATATCATAAAATTGCACCCCTTTAGCCAGGAGGATCATCCCTCTTTGGTCCATGATATTCATTCCCCCTGTCGAGTGGGACTCACTCTTAGTAGCCTCATCCCACATACAGACAACATAGTTAGGGTGTCGGGTATACCCTGGCCGTTTTGTGAGTGTGGGATGGATACTGGCTTATTAAGGTCTAAAGGCAAACTGATCTACTCTTGGTATTGCTAGTGAAATTGACGAATTAGAGATGGGATCTCAAATTGTTTGCCCTAAAAAACAACCCAATTTCGAGATCGTCAGATCTTCCAAAGGACATCCACCACTGCCATAAACAATTGGGGTTGATGTATCAATAACATTAACTTTTTTAAGGAAGAGCGGAAAAGTGTGACGAGGAAAACCTTGGCCAAGATATTCGAGTCTCGAATGATCCCATAAATCCCTTGCCATTAGGAAATCAAGAAACAAATGTTCCATTGTTTCTGTTTCACCCCAATAAGGGAGCACCTGAACTTCCTTTTCAATAAGAGCTTTCGTCATTGGAAGGATCTAGTGGAATATTTGCCACAAAAACACTTTTAATTTAGGTGAAATATGGGCTTCCCACAAGCAGATCCAACTGGCCATGGATCGTCACCGTCCACCCTGCTTATCCAATAATACCGCAAGATGGTAGGTCGATTTGACCGTGAAAATCCTGTCACACATGTCCTTCACATCCTCTGAGGAAGAAGAATTTCTTTGATGGCACGGCAAGTTGCTGAATCAAACCACTGGCTAAGTTCATGATCACACCACTACCCCTCCCCTTGGTGAGTTCTAAGGTAGCGAAATTCCTTGTCGGGTAAGTTCCGACGAATCACCTCTGCCACCTTCGGGTCTCCACCCTCCGGTAGCACCTGGGGATTATACATAGGGGTATGGGGTGTATTTGTGGAATCCAATTTGAGTGAAGCAATGAAGTAGACCGTCCATTATCGATTTGTCATCGTAGACCCTTGACTAAAAAATGACGGTCATAGAGAATACTCTGCCATCCCAAGACGGACGTGATCGTGAAGAGGCAGTGAGGAAAGTTCCGGTCGTAAAATATTTCCCTTGGTAAACCTAGGCTAGGAGCGACTGGAGTTCGGTCAAAATTTGTCATCCAATATTGGCCAAGAGAGCCTGATTAAAATGTTCGAACCGACGAAATCACATTCCACCATCATGCTTACTTTGTCACATATTCTCCCAGGACATCCACCTTATCCGGGAATGATCCCCTTCAACACACCACGAGAATCTTGCCACGTTTCTGTCTAAGAGTCGAGAGAGAAAGGTTGAAACAGGACATGACATGCAATGGCAAAGCCAAAGCGACTAATTTAATCAATGTCTCTTTTGGTACTTTAAACTTACGATTAAATAATTTCTTTTTTTTTATTTGAAGTATAAAAATATTTAAAATCTTATGAAGACTCATGACAGAAATTCAGTGAAAAGAAAAGGTTATATGTCACAACACAATTATCCATCCTTCCTTAGATCGAATTATTTTTCGTTTTTCATAAAAAATGGTTTTATTCGTTCTACCATTTCAATAAATAAAATAAAAACTTGTTAAGGCGGAGGAACAAGAGAACGAAACAAAAAGCAAACTGGATTTGCCAAAAGGAAGGGGGAGAAAGTTATATTAGAAGAAGAAGACTCCCCGCCTGAGATAGATAGGTAAGAGTGCGAGAAATCCTCCGGCCACTGAGAAGAGAGATCTCCACCACGCAAACCTACCCCCTTCGCTTCTTCCCCTCTTTCACGTTTCCCGTTCCCCTTACGTTTTAGATCTCCATAACAAGAACTCCTCACCAAAAGCAAAACATCGAAAGAAATTTCTACTTCGCCACTGTTGGTTGATTCCCTCCTTTCAAAAAAAAATCCCCAATAGTAGCCTGTTTCTTTTCCTCTCTCGCGGAACCTATTGTGAAAAATCATTCATTACCCATCGATTATCTGCCGGCGACTAATGTATTAGAGCCAGGAAGGACGAAACTTTCGTTCGTCGGGTATGCGGTGACAGTGGGGTTTGTCAAAGGTTCCACCTCTTCTTCAGAAACCATGGCTTCTTCAATCGCAGGTAAGCAAGCCCTTCATTTCCTTTTCCCCTGCAATCATCTGGAGATGAAGTTTGCTTCTTTTGTTCCAAAAAATTTGGGCTTTGCGGTTCAGTTTTGTGGGTCGTTAGTAGTTTTAGCTTAGCTTTAAGTATTCAGCCAAGTGTCATTGAATTTTTTCCCGATGAGGGGATAACTGAATATCCGGTAATCCGAACTTTAGATATTGGGATCTATTTCCCTGAATTGATAAAGTGTGTGTGTGAGAATCTGATATTATCGGTTTTGTACTACATAGATATCGATTAGGGGCGTTTGTGGGAGGCTGAAGCTTCTTGCTTCAGCTGCTTATATGTGAATTCGGATTGACCTGAATGTCTTTCCACCTTTGGTTGGGGTTTGGCCTTTGAGGATGTTGCAAGGATTGCCCTTCACAATGGGCTATTTGGTAGGTGAGATTTATAAGGACTACCATAAAACTGAAAGGTGGTGTTGTACTATGAACTGCCCCGATAGTCTGAGTGTTCAACCATCTATCACAGTTCACCAGCGTGGTACTATCTTGACCGGAATCGATGTGTTTGGTTAGGTGGAGATTAGGCTGTTCTCGAGTACGACTTATTGTCGTGGCTGTGCAATTGGTATGGAACTTTACAATAGTGTATGTCGACTAGTGTCTTCTTCTTGAGACTTACACTCTTGTAAATATTGAAGTAATAATTGGAAGTGTGGAAGCTTATCTTTCTGATCTGAGTGCTTATTGAATGAAAACAACTATTCTAATGTTGCAGAACTCCGCGAGAAGCATCAGAAGGAGCTGGACAATCTGAATTTTACAACACAACCATTCAAGACATTGAAGTTTTTTATTTTGGCTGTAGTTCAGTATTTTAAGCGTTGTGTATTATACCTTTTTGCGAAAGGTGGATGGCTGTTACTTTTGAGTGCTGTGGTGGTGGCTTCTGTTTTTCTTGTGGCTACTGTCGATGGTCCTCATGGAAAGGTACTTGGTTCTTTGTTTAGCAGTTCTTTCATTTATTGCTATCCTGTCTTGCATATTGATAGTATATAGGTTGCTGACTGAAGTGCTTAAAGAGTGGCATGAATTAGATGGGCATACACACCTTTATACACAGTCACATGCTTATGTTCTTTCGTTGAAATTAGGCAAAGTACTGATCTTCTGCTGTGTTATATGCTTATGCAGCACGTAGAAGAAATCTCTCATTATTTTCAATTTGGATTGTGGTGGATAGCTCTTGGGGTTGCATCATCAATCGGTCTAGGTAAGATAATGAGTTTCTAAGGATCTGGTGGCCATGGTTATGGTTGAGCATCCATCCTATGTGAAGTTGACATTGACAAGTCTGCAATGTTATTCTACTGGATTTTTAATGGTTCTTGTTTTCCTGTTACTTACAAATTTCTAATATTTTTATGGGCACGGAATTCTTTTGTGCTCCTTGGATAATTTCACAGGCAATTCCCTATCTAGCATTTCAATTGTCTCTGAACAATCATAAGGCTGTAATTATTCAACCTAACAACTTTTGTTTCCTCTGTTTAGAACTTTCTATCACAATTTTTTTTTTTAAATCTATGGTTAGAGTTTTACTGCCTATCAAAAGGAACATAGCCAGAGGTATGAAACAGAAACAGTTGTATAACTTAGAATGTTGGTGACCTATTTTCCGTAAAAATTAAAAAATACTTCTAATCCCACTTACACTTCTAATTATCCTCCGGATGCTATATTTCATGAAGCATTATCAGGATTCTAGAAAAAAACACTGATGTAACCTTCTTTTCTGATTTTATAGTACTACCATTCAAATAGCAGCTCAAAATTTCCCCTGATTTCTGATATTTTGTTTGTTTTTTCTGTTTCAGGATCTGGTCTGCACACTTTTGTCCTTTATCTGGGTCCTCATATTGCCCTGTTCACAATAAAGGCAATGCAGTGTGGCCGAGTTGATTTAAAGAGCGCCATATATGATACCATACAGCTCGATAGAGGTCCTTCGTGGCTTGATAAAGATTGTGATGAGTTTGGTGACCCAGTATTTCAGTCATCCAACTTGTTGCGGGTGCCGCTGAGCAGCATATTGCCACAGGTCCAGATAGAAGCTGTCTTGTGGGGTGTTGGAACTGCACTTGGAGAGCTACCTCCTTACTTCATCTCAAGAGCTGGTATGCACTAGTTCTAATGAACTCCTAGTTAATCATGTTTCTTGTTCTGTGTTGTCCCACGGATAACTTCCATTTGATTCAAACCAGTTGGTGCCTCCTGTTGATCAAGTAGCTAACTTCTCATCAGATAGATGCCTTCCAACATCTCCGGTTAAAACTTAATTGAAGAATGTTCTGAACCCCACTTTGCATTCCTTTCTGTATTTCCAAGTACCCTTTTACCTCCAATGAAACTCAAAAGTTTCTGTCATCATTTTTGTCTTTTCAACTGCAACTCACGTATCTTAGTAAATTTCATCTACCCTAAAATAGTTGGCAAAATGGAAGAATTCACAAATTCACCTGTATTAGTAACTTTTTCCCCCCACATTCACTTCTACTATTTACTCCAGTTTGGCTAAATCTCCAATTGAACGCTATCAGTTGAGTCAAACGGTATACTTACCATAGGCATCCTATGATGTTGACATTTCACATGAGTTTAACGCTCTCATTTTGGACCCATCTGACTAGTACACGTGTGAATTACTTACTGCATGTAGCACGTTTATCGGGCAGCAAGTTTGATGCAATGGAGGAATTGGAGGCAACATCTGCTGACGATGACGGAGTCATAGCAACACACCTGAAGACGATCAAACGCTGGCTTATGTCGCATGCACAGCATCTGAACTTCTTCACAATTTTGGTGCTTGCTTCGGTTAGTTTTTTCTCTGCGAACTCCTTGAGAACTTTTACCTCCGATTGTTTTATGATTTGCTCATCTGCTTGACATCCTTGAAAATTGATTGTCAGGTGCCAAATCCCCTATTTGACCTAGCCGGTATCATGTGTGGACAATTTGGGATCCCATTCTGGAAATTCTTCCTTTCAACAGTGATTGGCAAGGCTATCATTAAGACACACATACAGGTTTGTTCTGTGTTATTATTTTCGAAAGTCTCATTTTTTTTAATTTTTCAAATGATTGTTAGTCTTAGATAAGAGAAGCAACAGAGGCATTGATTGCTGCTTCTCTTCCAGAACCATAACAGTCGCGTCATAGAGTCCTTTGATATTATATGATACAATTCTTATTGTTCACACGGTTTCTTCTTTCTGCAGACGGTATTCATAATCTGTGTTTGCAATAATCAACTCCTTAACTGGATAGAGAACGAGATGATTTGGATGCTGAGTTTTGTACCTGGGTTGGCGTCGATCCTGCCCAACGTGATAACCAAACTCCATGAGATGAGAGAAAAGTTCCTCGCACCAACCCCTGCTCTCCCCAGTACCAAGGTACTTAACTTTAAAGGGCATACATCATCCAAATACTTATACATAGGCTGTTTTGATTTATCCATTCATTTGTATGATTTTATCCAACAGGGTAAAAAATGGGATCTCTCATTTGCTGCAATTTGGAACACTGTGGTGTGGCTCATGCTCCTCAACTTCTTCTTCAAGATCGTGAGCTCAACAGCACAGAGATATCTGAAAAAGCAGCAGGACAAGGAGGTAGCCGCCATCTCAGCTTCAACCCATTCAGATTAGGAAAACACCGGATGATCTCGAAAACATAGAGAGACAAAACCATTACACATTCCCTTTCTTCCTTGTTTTATTAGATAAGGGAAGAGGTCTAGATGAATTGGGCACATCTCATTTCCTTCTGCACCTTTAATGACTGCTTGCTATTGTTCTAGCTCAGCTACCCGGCGCAGGAACCACTTTTACCATAAGAAAAGAGCATGTTTACTACTCACTTAGAAGCCAACCATGTATAGAGCCTTTTAGGGGAAGCAAGGAGGATTCATGATTTCTGTGCTTTGATGGGGATTTAGCATGTTTATCTGGGTAGTCATTTTCGTCTTTCCCTGCGGTGGAAAATGCAAATGAATGAATGTTGTTATTGTCTCTATACATTTTTCGCCAAATTGAATACACGGATTATGTGGTCGAACAGAAGAGAATGCGTTCTTTATTTTCAGGTCGATTATGATAAACTTATGTCTACACATAAAGTGAAGGACACCCAAATCTAGGGTTTCGGTACTCGGGTCAGATAATTGGAAATCAATCGGAATATTAGGGATTCTGAAGATAGAATTAGAGATTGAGATGGTAAGAGTTGGGGAGGGAACAGAGGTGGGAATGTCGGTTATGGCCGAGTTGGAGAGAGACTAGAAGACTGGATGGTTTAGCGTAGTAAGAGAGAGATTAGAGTCGGGAATTCTGTAATTTGATTAACTTGATAAAAATCAAGCATATTATAAGAAAATTATTCAAATTATTACAAACTTGTTTGACTTCAAGGTTTCTCCAAATACTTCTTAATTTGCATATGAGATACCGCATTTTCTGGTCTTCTATAATTATTGACGAATCCATCTATATTAATTTGATCGTTAACAAATCTCTCGTATGTTCTCCTTGCTTCCTCTCTCATTCCTATTTTCCCTCTTTTGTTCCTCTTGCAACTTTATCTTTATATCCATTGAATAATTGTACTTCTATAATTCCTCTACTTTTATCATTTCAAAGTTAAACTGTTGTTGCATTGTCGGGTCGAGACTTTCTACTAACTTAGACTACATATATTTTTCTCCCTTTATCCTTATAAGTTTTCCTTCCTATAGAATGAGCAGTGAATTTTCACTTCAATATCATTTCAACCAATACGTTTGTTGAACATTTTTTAATAATTGGTTTGAGTGGTCAAATTTCACTTCCTTGCCAGCCCCGTCGGCAAAATAATTGAGCATCTTGGTTCATAATCTACTACTAAATAGCCAAATCAGAGAACTATCACTTCGTTATCAATGCACCCAACATAGCAATTGAACTATTTTGAAATATTAATGTGTATGTATGTTATCTTAATAGTAAATATTAATGTGTTTATATCAGATCCTAAACTTTCCTAATTTTCATTTTTAATATTTATTGAATAATATTTGTTTCAATTCATTATTCATTTAATACATTGTCTAATAGCTATAAATATTAGTATGTTTCAACTATGAAATCCTTTTTTTTTGTCCTAATACAATTTACTAAACACTAATAACTGTATGCATAAAAATAAGATTGTCTAAGTACATAATGAATGTCTATAACGTATTATGAAAAGGTATTATTAAGTATAAACATAAATAGTACGTATATTTTTTTTTTATGAATAAGGTGTTTATTCATTAAGAAAGAATGGTTAAGAACACCATTTTTTTTTTCAAAGTCAATAGTTATAAAGACAGTCATACAGAGAAAATAAGAAGAGCGCGGGAGTCGACCACTAGCCGAACTCCCGATGAGAGGGTCTTTTGTGCCACATGATGGGCAGCCCTATTAAGTCAACGAGAAACAAAACAGTAAGAAACTCAGCTAAAGCGAGAAGCCAAGCTCCGAACATCCTCCAGTATAGCTCCACCTCGATCATGAGCCAAGTCACCTCTCACCATCCACCGTATCAAATGTTGAGAATCCCCATGAAATTTGACAAAAAGAAAAAAGTGTGTTAAGCATCATTGTATGGCATATCGTACGGTCAAACTTTCCATAACAAATGAATCATGTATTCCCATTATAAAAAAAATGAATCATGTATTCCATAGTAATGTTCGAAAGCAAAGAGAATATTACCTGACACATGAAAGTCTACAAAGCCAATACTACCTTATTGCCCAGCACCGTCCCTGCATAGCGTTCGCCGAAGACAACACTAGGCCACCAATGTAGCCGAAAAAGAATCAACGACAACAAATCCTCAAGAGAAGAAAGTGTCCTTGAAATCCAAACTCCTGCAAAACAAACACAACAGAGTGGCGCAGGAGAGCGAAATGACCAGAATCGGCGAGCCGCACAATGACGATCCAAAAACTACTGTAGAAGCTCATTCCGTGTTAAAAACACCATTTTAACTGGTAACCAAACCACAAGTACAGAGAACCAATCCACAGTACAGTACAGTCTGAGTGCAAAACCTATATACAAAGACAAACTAAAAACCAAATTACCGCAACAGAAAAACACCTTCAAAACATACTATGTATATCAGCCTCTGAGATGGCTAGGCCTATCTGTGGGAAACCATTTCTCATCAGAAGTAGTAGCTGCTGCAAGAGTGGAAATCGGTACGGTATCGGTATCCCAATACCAAATACCGAAATTCCGAATACATAATTACACTCTAAAATCAATCTCAATCCCAATCCCTAAATAATTTCGGTATCCCAATCGGTATTATTGAATACATAATTAATTATCTTTATAATTAATAATTAAATATATAAACTAGATTTATATTTTAATTTAGGGCAAAGAGACTAAACAAATAGTCTTGAGTTGCCTAGAGCTAACATCTCAAGTTCTTGTAATTTGTAATCTTTAATTTTACGAATTTGAGGTTGAGAGACGACTAATATATATTAGTGTGAAATAGTGATGTAATGATCTTTGTATAATTAAATGACACTTTTGGTGGTTGAAGGTCGTGTAGTAGTGAATGAGAGAGTCTAGTTGAGAGGATAAAATATACACTAGCTTATATTTCGGTATTGATCAGTATTTCGGTATATATCGATCTCAATCTCGTAATCCCTAATACCGAATAACAATTGAAATTCAATCCCAATCCAATCCCACGAAATAATACGTGTATTCGATAATACCAAAATATAGACAAATTCGGTACGGTATTCGGTATATCCCAAATAACGGTGCCAAACTTCCAGCCCTAGCGGCTGCACTTTCTTCAGCAACTGAGCTTGAATCAACGATTCATGAGCATACGACCGCCTACACCTTTCCCTCCATAGTTCACTCACCACTGTATTCCAGAGAAGCCTGCCACGATCATAATGGAGAATTAGCTTTGAACTGAGAAACGGCTAACCCCAAAGAAACTTCTCAACTTCCTCCAGTTTGAATATGTGAAATATAGTACCTATATATTTTAGGTCACATCAACTGAAATTTCTAAGAAAATAGTAAAATACAAGAATGGATGGAGACAATTTAAATATATCTATCAACTTAAAATTATTGATGTGACCTAAGATCCATATCTTAAATTAATTATTATTTTCAGAGATTTAGATGATTTAAATATATTTTTGTGGTAATTTAAGCAAACAATTCGATGTAGCATTAATATTGGATATTGTAATTGGGGATGGATTCTTCAATTCGGGTTCAAATCCCGACATCGGAATTTCTTAATGGTAAATTCTTTTGCCTCCATTAGTGGGATTTTTCCAATAATAGCACCTATTAAAAAAAATTACAAAAATAGCATCCAGCCCACAACATTTATAAAAATAGCACAATTTTTATCAAACCGCACCTCCAAGGTGCGTTTTATAACTAAACTAAACCCTCCGGGTGCGTTTTATGTATAAACCGCACATTGGAGGTGCGTTTTGCGCCACGTCAAACTGGGAACCGCCCCTCCAAGGTGCGGTCTGTGTTTGGTGGGCAGCGGCCAGCGGCCTTGGAGACCGCAGGATCAGGTGGCGATCTAGCAGGCAGAACGCACGCCACGTCAGCGATCCTTGCCACGGATCGAAGACTGCAGCGCCAAGGAGCGGTCAACCCTCGGGAAGTGTAGACCGCATCGGAAGGGTGCGGTTTGACCGGGGGAGAAATTACCAGACCGCCCCTGGAGGGTGCGGTCTGATGGATATAAATACCTCCTCCCCCCCCCCCTCTCATTTCTTCACACCACAACCATTCTCCACTCTCTCTTTCTAGAATTATCTCTCTAACCCCTCCCCTCCCAATAGCCTAGGAAATAGTGGTCTGTTGGTTGTGGCTAAGTCCGATCTGCCATCAGAAAACATTTCTTTGGTTTTTCCCTCAAAACCCGCCGAATTTCTGTCCGACTTTCGCGAAAAAATGGACGAGTGGTTCCAAGTAGAGGGAGTTTATTATGATGAATTTCAAGCGGTACGTACTCATTATTTTGGTCAATTTTTGTTTTTGTTATAAGCTTTTTAATTAATCTATGTACTAACCTTGTTGTTATTCTCTCGTAGGTTGGGGACGACGTGAATATATACAACCAACGGTACTATTTGGATCAAGGGCCTATTGATCCGACCGACTTGTATGACCAACCCAACCATCGTTCAAGGGATGTTTGGAACGATCACCCGGTACATACAATTCTTCATCATTTATCTTTATTTTATTTTGCTAATGTACTTAGTGGAATATAAAATAAATTTGAAATAATTTAATCGTATTGGTTGTTTTCAATAATTTAATAGAATACATACCGCCACTTACTTCGACTCTTTATAAAGAGATGCACGTCTAAGGAAATGGGGTTTTAAGCGATTATCATGATCCTCCCATTTTCTGAGAAAATCGGGTATTAAGAGATCATCGAATCCCCCCCCCCCCTTTTTCTGTTAAAAAGGCTACGTTTCTAAGAAGATGTATACCTCTTCTAACAGTCTAACGAGTGTTGCATTGTATTCGATTAAATTATTTAAAACAACCAATACGATTAAATTACTTACCAAACAACCAATACGATTTATGTTTATGTGTACTTAAATGAATTTTATTAATTTCAAAATTTTGAATATGTATGTATCTCTTTAAATTATTGTTCATTTAGAATGTTATTTATGTCAATTAATTTAGTATGTTTGTTTTATGATAATATGTATATATCTTGGAAAAAACCGCAAATTACTTAAATTTGATTGTTAATAATATAATTATAATAGAATTATATTCGAAATTAAATCATTAATTTTAATTAATTTAGTTATAAGACTAAACTATTACTAATATATCATAAATAATTTTAATAATGGTTGAAATTAAATCATTAATTTTAATTTGTTTAGTTATAAGATTTAACTTAAGTTGCTAATATTTTTTTTAGATCAAATTCGATCCCTACCCGGCGAACATCGTTCATTGGCATTTACAGCAATTCCCATAGAATATAGGGCAATGGTGCACGAGGGTCCCTC